ACCCTGTCTGTCCGCGAAACAGACATCCAACTTAGACGCCTCTCTTCTCTTTTATCGTTTCCGATTCGCCTCCTCCCGCTCCGCTGTTTCGCTTTTCGTCGCGTCTTCTTCTTTCTCGTCGCCGTCTCGGCAGACTCGCGACTCTAGAGACGCGTGCAGCGAATTTTTCGATAGAAGAGAAATTAATTAGGAATTGGCGTCGACGATCGGCGAAACGACCGGGAAAATCGAGCGAATGCGATCGTAAAGAGGAAGGAGCGGTTCTGGAGGTCGGTAGGTCGTTAAGGACTGGCCGGAATCGTTTGGACGCGATCCTGTTTCGAAGTCTCGTTCGCCGGTTCTTTCTCTCCGTCGTTTCTCCATTTTCGCCGGTTCTCCGAGGTTCGCTCGGGTGCATGCCGAGACGCGGGGTTGGCCCGACTCCGGAGATAGATGGGAGAGTTTCGCGGTGCGCGCCCACATAGCAGCAATGTAAGTCATGCTTCTTTATGGGCCGGCCCGTGACCCCGCTACTTGTAAACCGACTAAAGATTCAGAAATAGCCGTCGCGCGGCACCGTGCCGCCACGCCACGCCACGGCCTTTACTTACGCGTTACGTCCCTTCCATCTGTCACGAGCACCGATCGTTGCCGTAACTCGTGTATCGCAATACGATCGAAGCGACGGAATTGCAAGGGGAGCATCGTAACGACGATTCTCCGGTCACCGTACACGCCCGTATTCGTACGCGTCGCCTAATCGATCGCGAACCGCGTACGATTTTCGATCGACGCAAAATCCTGAAAACCGAACTTGTCACGATCGTTTATCCGTGAACGGACGTGGAAAGGGAAAGAAGCTCGAACCGTGAATCGAACCGAGTGGAATCACGGCGTCGACATCGATAGAAAGGCGACTCGACGGAGAGTATTGCCGGTCGCTATCTGCGTCGCGCGTCAAACCGATACGCGATCAATGATATCTCCGGCATGGAAATGCCTAACGGATCTCGACTATTCACCGCTCTTATATGCGCGTATATCGGAATCGGAACGTGCCGTTTCTGCCGTCGCGTCGTCCTGGTCGGAAACGCGACGAGAAATTTCTCTCTCGTGGATGGAAAACGGACGAACGTCGAAAAGCGGCAGTGCGAGACGATTCCATTAACGTCGTCGAGCGACGATAAGGTTGCGGACGCGACCGAACCCTTTCGGTCGATCGATTTTTGACTCTGACGAAAAGCGAATCTTTTAACGCGGAGGTCGTGCAAGATCGATGCTTCGTTCGACGACGAGCGTGAAAATTTCGAGGACCGTGATATATGCACGTAAATTTGGAAATTTTGCCAGGCACTCGACTCGTCGAAGAAAAGAGGAGTTTAAAGCCTTTCGCGTCCCGCAGGAACAGGAACTGCCGATCGACTTTGGCGCGAGCGACAGAACTCGAGGGGCGAGCGATGTCACGAGCGACGTTCGCTGCTCTCGTCGAGAAAGCCAGGTGAGCATCGAAAACTCATTGTCGTAATCCGCGTCATCAGCAAGCTCGAGTGGAACTCTCTTCGGGGCTACGTGTCACCGAACGAAAGATCTTGAACGAGATCGAACATGCGGGTAACGCTCTCGACGACCGCGAACCCACTGCTCGGACGTGCTCTTTTCGAAAAACGGAAGGAAGCGTGTTATTCGTTCGATACAGTATTCGGGAAACCTATCATTGTCATTTTATGGACATTCGTCCAACAGAATATAGTAATAATTCACATCTACAAAACGTGTACAATGGTGATTGTATTCAATTACGATTGGATACCGATTCTATCTTCTTAAATTTGTTCTGAAATTTGTATTATGTAAAAATTTCGTACGATAAATACCGCGTCGAGATATTCTGATGGCCGTCTTAAAAGCGACAACCTATAGAATAAAAATGGGAGTCGGCGAAAAATTTGAAAGGTCGTGTCGGCGTGACGGAAGGAGTCGGAAGGAGAACAGAGGAGAAGAAGCGTGAGCAGAGGGGCCGAGGGCGGAGAGTCGGCAGAGATATCTCGGCGATTCGGTAATATCGCGCGGTCGACAAATTAGCGTTAATCCTAGGTCGTTAGCAAGATTGATGCCAGGATTTCACTTAAGGGCGCAGTCGAAGGGAAAGTTTCGGGGGAATAGTGGTCGTAGACGTAGTCGCAGCGTTCTCGTTGTCATCGTCGTTCTCGTCGGGATGCCGTAATGAAGTGGGTGGACCGGTGGTTGGTCGGTACATGGAACGGGAGCCGAAGGAGCTAGAGTGGTTCGAAGCGCGTATACGCGGCGTACTCTGCGAGACGGAAGGTCCGTGGCCGGAGGGTCACGAGGCCGTAGGGTGGCGGAGAAAAATGAGAGAAAGGGAGCTCGAGAGCGAGGGTAAGAATACGAGAGAGAAGAAGAAACTGAGTCGAGAGAGTATCGAGAGAATCGTAGGATGACCACGGATCAATCTACCCTTGGTCGACCACCCTTGCTTCGAGATTGGCGTCCGCTCCCCTGACCGAAAAGGACCGTCGCGAAAATTTCGGTCGCATCGAGCAGGCGACTGCTAGTTCGAAATGTCGAAACTCGTTTTCGCGATCTGTTCGCGAAGCGTCTTTTCGATCTTCTCGTCGGAGAATCGTCGGGATGTCGAAGCGTCAAAAAATGTCGAAGTCGACGCGATCGGTCAGGCTCGGATGCGATCTCGATTGGTTCGAAACAGGAGAAGGGGGAAAGAGGGGTTGCGTGGAAGTCTCGCGTCCGTGAATTCGGCACGGTTCAGCCGAGTGAAGACGAGAAGAGCGAACCGATGACACGCCGCCTCGGGCCAAAATCTCCGAGAGGCCTCGATCGGTCTCGCCTTTATCGTGCCTGTCTCTTTTGCCTTTTCCCTTGCTCTCTCGACTCTCTTCTATTCTCGTCCCATCTCGTCTCGTCTCGTCTCATCCAGTCTCGGCTTTCTTCTCTTCCTAAAGACCTCCTCTCGTTCGTTCGTTCGCTCTAACTTTTACGAGCATCTTCTACCGAGGAGTCTCGTAATTGCCTCTTTAGCGGTAACCCCCCGGCCGACTCTTCCTCCCGGTACCGACCGCGTTTCGACCGAGCCGTCGAGAGTGCTTCTTTCCTTCCTTTCCTTTCCTTTCTTTTCTTTCTTTCTTCTCTCCTCTTTGCTCGTCCATTTCTCCGCGCACCTTTTTCTTTCGTGTCCCCCACCCTCTCGATACCGCGGCTATCGATTCTTTTAAATTGCTTCGAGATATCGTTATCCTCGCGATCTCGCTTTCGACGGAAAGTGTGGCACCACGGTGCGGTTTAGCGGCTTCGAATTAAAAAGAAGAAGGCGAAAATTTGCGGGGTAACTCGGTGGTCGCGAATAGTCTATCGACGCCAATTAACGAGGCGAAACGTTTCGAGGGTGGCAACGAGCGAGACAACTGCGACGACGACGGCGAAGCGCGTTCGCGTACCGGATCCGTGCTAGAACGTGCCAGTTGCTCCGTATCTGTCACGAGCGCTTCGCGAGTCACGTTTACAGCCAGTCGTAACGGTTGTACGTGCTCGCAGCGTAATTGATTCGTCTTGGCGTCCAACCTCCGAGTCGCGCCGAGTTCTCTTAGAATAACGACGATACTCTCTCGACGACCGGATAGATCCTGCTCCGTCGAATCGAGTCCCGTTCTCGAACATCCTTCGAGTCGTTCCGTACGATTCGACTCGACTCCCGAGATTCCGCTGAAACCGTCGCGGAACAAAGTTAACCGGTCGTCGACGACGGAGGCGCCGGTTTCCGAGAATCAGCGATCAGGCGAAAAAACGCGAGGAGCAACGTCCCGTGGCGGTCTTTGAGGAGCGACGGTTTCGCGGAGTTTGCCGTATTTTCGCGACGAGTACCCTCCGTTCGCGGAAGCGGTAAAAAATGCGACGTTAATATCTGGACGAGAAAAGTTACGGGGTGGAACGGAAAGTAGAAGCCGCGTCCCTTCGGGGAAAAGCCGTTTTGGGGAATAAAAGTGCGAGAGGGCTCGGTGAACGAGTCACGCGTCAAAGTCGCGACGCGCTTTCGAAGCTTAAGAGCGCGAACGTCGACGGAAAGGTTGGACGATCCAGCCGGTGCGACGCGACGTTTAGGCTTTCGAAGGCTTAATCACTTCGAAGATATTAGGCGGCGGGGTGAATATGCAAAGTACGTTTTTCCTCGAACGGCTTACTCTCGGCGAGTCGGAGGGTGTGTTTGGCCGGGGAGGACGACGGGCCGCGGAGAGAGGCGAGAGATTCTCGACTCGCTCTCGGAATCGGTTTACGAGGCTCGTTAAAATATTAGTCGGGCGTAAGTTCTCGGTGACACGCGGTGCGATTCGCGCTTCCAGCCCGAAGCACGCTCTCGTCTATGCAAAATAATCGTTTCTTAATTGCGGAGTAATTGCAAATTCGAGAGGGAACCGAGTTCCTTCTTCTTCGACGAGGCTCTCTTAAACCGGCGCCGTCTGTCGCTTCCATTATTCTCGCGAACTTCGACTTAACCCCTCGAACACCGGACAAATTACCCTCGAATTACCCTGCCGGTTCGCGTTTTCGCTTCCGAAGCGAACGTTCGAATCGCTTCGGATTTTCCCTCCAGATTCCTCGAACGGAGCGTCGCGAAAAGGGTAACGAAAAATTTCCGCTCATCCCCCGCGATCCGGTAGGAGCCCCCTGCGAGGAGCAGCGACTCCCTCGCACTCTGTTCTCCTCTCTTTTCCTGGCACGGATAACGCGTTGCAGTCCTTCATGCCGGTCGGCAGGAACCCCGTGAACAAACGGGCCGCCAGCCAGCCTTATCTCAAGACGCTTTAATGTGTTTAACCCAGCGAAGATAGTGGACAATTTATTGCTCCCTATTTTAGGCGTGCTCTGTCTCTCCCCTTTCTCTTCTTCCCTCCTTTCCTCTTTACGCTCTTCTGCCAGTTTCTCTCCCTTCGCCTCTCTTTCTCTCGCCCTTTTCGACCCGTTCGACCCGTTCGCTTGGCCTACCGTCTTACCTTCCGCTCCGTTCGTCGTTCGCGATTCCAAGCTCGTTCCGTGCCGTTTCGTCCGAATCGCGAAGCCAGTCGAACGTATAGCTGCTCTTTTTTTACGCGAGGACGAACGGCTCTCGGCGCACCAGCGGCGACAGATGTTTTTCATCGAGTCACGCGGGTCAAGGGGATTCTAAGCTGTCTCGGCACAATTTACTAGCCGATGATAACGCTAGAAACACGTGCGCCGCGACCGTTTCCCGAACTGGAAACTCGAGATTTTTCTCGTCGAACCTCCTGCTCCTCGGGCCCTTTCCACTTTTCACCGCCACCTACACCGACGGACTTGCCGGTTCTCCCCTCGCGACAAATATTCCAGCGAAACGACGTTACGGAACCGAAAACGCGTGACGCTTACGCAACGAGCTGCCTCGATTTTGCGAAGCGAGTCGATTCGGTCGAGATCGAGCGTTCGCCACCGAGAAAACCGTGACCGTTTACTCCGGTCGACAAGAAAAATAAGAACGATTCGAGTGACTCGACCGCGTTCGGTAAACAAATTTCGGCAAAAGCTAATCGGCAAGGACGAGCGGCGAAGAGAAAGGAAGATAACGCGTACGGGTCAAGCGGATAACGAGCGAGACGAGGTCGAGAATGCGAGCCGACGAAATATCGCGTAATCGTACGTATGTTTTCGCGCTAATCTCGCGTTCATTTACGACGCGTCGCGTACGCTCGACCTTTTCTCCTCCGTTGCGCAACGGCTCGCACTCTCCGCGAACGAAGGCTCGATTTCTTTCTCGCGCGACGATTAAACTCGCTCGGCGAGCGTCAAAGTTCGTCGTCGCACGACTCGTTTTCAGCTTCCAAGTTTCCTAACGAGGGGATCGATGATCGTAGAGAGAGCGAGAGAGGGGGACAAGTTTGGGCGTACGAGATCGGCTGGCAACGGCAGGTAAAGGAGGCAGGTCGCGCTTTGACCTCCCTCGTAAAAAAGTCGAAATTACCGGTCGGCTGCAGCTGCGACCGATGCAAATATCTCCGTGGCGGATGCGTCGATCGCGATCCGACAAACGACCTTCTTCGAGCCGCGAGCCAACGAGCGAACGCGAGAACGGCTGTTAAGAGGCTCGTATCGACGCGATGCTCGGCAGATGGCATCGAAGATTATCGTTCCACGTTTCGTCGCAAAAGTTGGAACGAACGCGTTCGAGGAACGCGTCGAAAAGAGAGGGAAGCAGCTGGCGCGTTAATGATCCTCGCGAATACGAAATTACGCGCCACTCCATTAAGCGCGGCGACGGCTCTCGATTCCGAGGGACGCGCTGGCGCCGATTTACGAATCGGTTCGCGAGGCGATCGGGTTTTTCCGTCGACGGATTTATGGCGAACGGTTATTTCCCGCGATTAGATATTTGTCGTCGCGTCGTCGCAGCGATCATTACGGTTAGATACACAAAACGCGCGGCACGTGACTCGGCTCTGATGAAAATGTTAATCAGCGCTTCCCCTCTTCTCCTTTCGTCGCTCGCTCGTTCTCCCGTTCTCCGTTTCTCCGTTGATACCCTTTCAATGACTCGGTCCAGAGTTTCGTCGATGAATGAGCCGGCCCCGTGGGTCCCGGTGCGCCCATACGCGTCTCCGGTTACCTCCGCGGATTAATTATGGGGTAGATCAAAAGAACACGACGACCACGAAGCGGATAATGCAACGGGTGGTTCGTTTTTGAACGGTCGTATTCGCGCGCGTGCCCCGCACGCTTCGTACAAGCAAAACCACAGGGAAGACCGCGCGCTTCTTCGGGTTTTCAAATTTCAAAAACTCTCTTGATTATTCTTTCGTGGAGCGTCGCGGCGCGCTCGATCGTCTCGTTTTCTCTCAGCCGGCGTCTGCCCTCTCCGTTGCCGAAGATTATCGAAGCCTCGGGACTTTGGCGCGAACGAGTACCCTTGACTTTTAGGTTATCGAAACGGGTCGTAAGGTCTTCCGATACGCTGGAAGAGTGGAACGAAAAATCGGTAACGGCGCTTTTATTCCACACGCTCGTACAGCGTATTTATGTTCGTATCGGGCGCGATGCAACCGGTATCTATTTCTGTGTCGTCCTTAACGTTCTTCGCGCCTTTTCTACGTCGTTATCGATTCCCCTGCATATTTCGATTTCCTTATTTGTCCGGTTGTCGCTATGTTAAAAAGCCATCGTAAAAATAACCGGGACATTTTCGTTACCGTACAGCGCGAAATTTCTAGCCGAGAATAAAAGTAGGAGGAGAGATCGAAACGCGTTCCGTTTCGAATTTTCGGAGCGCCAGCGTGGTTGTCGGGACTCTATTTTCGTGTTCGTACCGTTTGGATTCGTTTCGTAAGGGCTTTTTTTTCTCTCTCCCTACGAAGTCGAGTCTCGCTACATGGAACTCGGTTTCGCCGCGCGAATCGGATTCCCGCTTTCGGGATTAGAACGCGGCATTATTTTCGCTCGACGTCTCTGCGAAAACGGAAAAGTTCTACGCCGGTATGTCGAAACGCTTTCTTTTTTTTTCCTCCCTCCCTGCCGCATCGTTTCGTCGCGGCGATACGTCGCGGCTTTCGAGTTTTCGTAGGGGATTTACGAGGCACCGACCACAGACAAACTCTCGCGCTCGGACGATCGACGTTGCCATTCTCCGACTCCGCTTCGCGTTCTTTTCCACGCGAACGCCGGAAAAAGATGCTAACTTCGCGTAACTTTAACGCCATCATTTTTTTTTGCGCGAGAAACAGATAACGACTCGGATGAAAATTTCCTCTTGCGCACGGTCCGTTACGCTCGTTTTCGTTATTTACGCGCGTCACGAATCGTTTTCGAGAATCTTTGAAGCAGCGCCATAGACGAACCAAAGTCTATCGCAAGGTACAAGCGAAACGTTAAGGTCTTTATCGTGGCTATAAATAGCGCGACTATCGTACATGCTTATTAGAGTAACTCGGTATCTTGTCATATTGGGGAATATACCACATTTCAGTAATTGTATAATCGATTCAAAGATGGCGATACTTGCGTATTTATTTCGTTTATTTTAACGCAATTATTCACGCGACGATAGATAGGTAAATATCTTAAGAAAAGATGAAGCGGAGAAGTTCGCGATCAGCAGCGAGTCGATATCGGTATCGACGTTTCGACGGTGGATTCGATGGGGCGAGAACAGCCACGATTCCCGTGGAAATCTCTCGATGGATATTCACCGGGGAGCAAAGGCGAACGCCTCGAGGCGTATTTACGAATTCATACCGCAGATGCGCATAATGGCGCTGATTCGTGACATTTGATTAGAGCATTGTCGCGGCTCACCCCACGCGCTAACCACCCGTCCTTTTCTACCTCTTCCGTAACCGATGGCGCGGTGGCGTACCGCAATCGCAACCCTTGTACCCGCTTCCTCTTCCACGGTCATTGAATAGAGCAGTCGCTCGCACCGGTCATTATTTTCCGATCCAACGATCGTGACGATTTCTCGCGGTGACCTTTCTCCCTGAAATCACGCACCGCCCACGGTGTCGGTCGCGTTCGCCTACCTCGACAATGACGGGACGATGCTACGATTCCAATGCCGAGAATGGGGTGCGAAGCACGCGCACCCGTATCCGTGCCCGCTCGACCGCGAACCGCTAACGAACGCCCCTCGAAAAACGCATGAGCCTCTGCCAACGAGCAAACATTTCCGCTGTTCGCGTTTACGCGTCTACTTTCCCTCCGACCGAACAGAGTCGCGGAGCAACCGGTTATTACGTAATTCGATCGCGTATTTCGATCCCAAAGGGTCGTGCAAGTTCGCGGGGGACGAATCTCTCGACTATCCACGCGCCTATCCGTTCGTCCCTCTTTGTGCGTTCGTTCGTTCGCCTTGACGCGTTCGTCTCGCGCTACTTTATGGTTCCGAGGATAGCGTTATAGTTGGGGTAGTCGCCCACGGGTCGGTAACGAGGTTACGGTCTCATCTCCTACTCGACCGTCGCGACGGCTCGAGCCCTCGGCTCATCAGGCCACAATATTACTAATCAGCGCGAGAATTGGCCCGGGTGGTAAGTGCCCTTCGAATTGCCAATTCGCGTCGCTGCTCTTCGTCTTCCGGGCTCTCCTCGGACCGAAACGAACGAGAAATCGAAAATCGCTAGACGCGTGGTTGCGATCGCGGTACGAAGCGAACAACGACGTTGCGGGGTAGCTTCGTGACGCGCGACGTCTTAATGCATTGTCACCAAGGGGATCGTTAGGCGTAACTAGACGTATATCAATTCTATTCGACGATCTGATTACGCACCGCCTAATTATGCCGCGTCACGTACCCTAATTAATAGTCGACCGGTCGTTCCGAGGGAAACGCGTTGCCTTCCAACTTGCCGGAGCAGACGAATTCGAAGGAGAACTCGCGGCCGCGAAAAAAAGAAGAATCCTTCGAAAGCCGCTCTTCGGTGATTTACGACGATCGTTCTCCTTGCGCCGGAGAACGCTTCCGCGCCACCCCCGTACCTATTGTCCGTGTTCTCGAGTCCGTATCTTTCTTTTAATGCACGCTTTATTAATAATAGTCGACCACTCCTACCGAACACCTTCGACGGCCACGCATTTACAGTCGGACCCGTTCTTCTCCGAGGGTTCGTCGTTTCTTTGTCGCGCTTCGACCGTCTGCTTTCGAGCGTTTTTAAGTTAATTTTCGTACGAGCATAAAACCGAAACGGATCCGTGTGGTAATCTGGACAGAGCTCCGAAGCGGCTGCCAGTTCGGTTTTTACTCGCATACGAGCTTCGTATCTCGCTGTCTGGAACTTTATCGACACCCCGTACTTACCGGCGTTCGTAGTGGCGCGGCTGCGTCGAGATAAGCAACTGAATTATGACATCGATAAAATTGATATCGCTCGTGTTTCTAAACTGGTAGTCGGACTTTACCGTCTTTAAGTTTACCGCGATGGTCGTTGATAGTCTCGGAAAAGTAGGGAGTGGAAGAGCGAAGCGAGAAGAGGGAACCGAAGGAGAAAAAAAAAAACGAGAAGAAGAACGGTCCGGGTGGACGCGTTTCAGATTTTTCTCTAGTCAGCGTGACTCGTTATCCGAATCGAAAAAAAGAACTCGGGTCGATAAGAGTTCTTTCAACGAGTAAATTATTCCATCGAGCGGCAAGCTCGAAACCGAACGGCGAACGCGAACGGGAAGACCGGCAACGAAACACGATCGAATTCGAGTCACTTGTATATCGGTAAGGAAGAAAGTTGTCAGCGGGAAAATCGAGTCTCGATCGCGTGCGAAACAAACGTTCTGCGGTGAAACGCGATGAAACGCAGCGGGGTGCACGGTGGCGTATTAAATTTCGGATAATCCAGAAGGATAGTCTTCGAGCGGGGTAATTAATGTGCGTTGGGGATCCGTCGAGGAAACGGAACGAGAAAGAGGGAACACGGCTCGAAGAAGGAAGGAGGGTGAACGAAGACAAAGAAAAGAGGCAACGAAAGAAGGGAGCCGAGAACCGAGGATTGGTTTTCTCACAGTGAGTCGTCGTCCCGTGGCCGAAAACCGGACATCTGGACATGGGACAGCTGCGCGACCACAGGCTCCTCCGTCCCTCCAAACCGAGGGAGGCTTTCACGGGGGTGACCGTTCTTTCGTTCTATACCACCCATTCTCCGTGTTTATGCCTGCGTTTACGCGTTCGCTTATGCATATTACGCGATCGCCGTTCAAAAAGTCGTCGATTAATTTCCCTCGTTCCGAGGCAACGACTCGCGTTCGACTTCGAAATCGTTCTTTTTCCTTTTAGTTCCCTTTAGTACGGTCCAGTTTTTTTCGAGCCTTCGGTTTCGATAATTGTGAGAAAAAACGGACGGTCGTAGCTTCGTCGGTAACGGAGTAGACGTTCGCGGGGTCGTTTTTCCTCGGGGACCGTGATCCTACGGCTAATATCGTGATTTATATTCTCGACTTTTCGAACTCGAGACGGGTCGTCGAGAGGGGGGAGACGGCCAAATACCCGTGAGACCGCATCTTTCCAGTCTCGGGAAACGTTCGAAGCGTCACTCGCGTAGATCGATCTAGCGTTCGACGGACGAACAAAACTTTCCGCTCGCGGTAACGTTTAAACTTGCTCGTTTCGAAATTTCGCCGTTAGACGAGAAGAAATAGGACGAAGAAGAGCTAACGATTCTCGAGCGCGTTGTTCCACGCGACAAAATCGCGAGCATCGGATTCGATCCGGTACAGTGTACAGAGTAGAGAGGGTCGACGGCCAAAAAGCGTATCGCGTCGACTCGGCCGAAACGGGCGAGGAGAGGAGAGAACGTGAAATCCGAGACAGGAACACATGCTGCTCGGTAAAGTGGTACTCGGACCCATCCACGACACCGGCAGGGTTTCGGTTCCCGCTCGGGGCTGCGTTTGCCACCGCAGCCGGTTTCGCTCGCTTTTAACCACCGGCCGTTTCGCCACTTGTCTCGCCCACGCTTTACCACCGCCGCAAGGTGTTTCGTTACGCCATTCGCCGTTCGTCTTGCTCTCGATCCTTTCGATCGCGAGTCGCATCGTTTCGACGGTTGGAACTACGTACTCGGCCAACAGGAATATCGATGATGCGTTTGTCTTCCTAGGTAACACGGGTCACCAAAACGGAAACTGGCTAAGAGAAAACGAGTTCCCGTGGTTTTTCGAGACCGGCCGTCCCGTACGCGACAACTCGTTTGTCGTCTGTTCGCGTTTCGTGGGATCGTACGGGCCCGCAGAGGAAACTCGATTTCGTTCGTGGATTCTAGAACAAACCCGTATTCGGGCTAGATTCGACTCCAGGGCCTGGGAACACGAGCCACGCGCCTCGTTCGAAGAAAAGCTCGGGAATCCGTGCTTGTGCCCGGTCATCGGGAGCACCGAGGTCACGGACGCGACGGTTGGATTCTTCGAAGCGGTTTTCCGTCCCTTCTCGCTTTTCGGTCCTCCGGACTTTCCGTTAGTCCGTTAGTTCGCAAACGGGTTTAGCAAATTTTTTCGACGATTCGAGAATCGACGTTTCGTTTGGAATCGCGTCGAGAACGGCGAGTGCGGGCCGAAAGATTCAACGGACCGAAGGAAAGAGGAGGTAATGTCGCGGAAGAAAGCCGAACGGAGCACGGTTAAGGGGGAGAAAAATGGGATCGCGTCGATCGTGGGAGTGCATCGTTCTCCTATTTAACGGCACCCTACTGGCTCTCGATCTCGCAACAGCGAGTCGTCGAGAGCAAGAGGCTCGCGCGTCCCGCAAGCTTGCCGTCGTCTCGGCACTGGTCACCGACACTTTGTCCCGGACCCTTCCAAAATGGACACGATGTTTGTTTGTTCCGGTCTCGATGTCACAACACACCCACTACAGACCGCAGTAGGGTGCTAACTGCCATTATATTATATACCTCTACAATACGCCATTAGCCGTGGACCCCAGCTGGAACGAACGCCGCTACCTTTCGCCTTCTACCTTTTACGTCTTTTGTAATCTGCTGCGCGACAGTCGACGAATCAAAGATCGTTTTTTCTCCTCGCGATTTAGAAATTACGCTCCAGATTGTTCCGTTCCCCGTCGACGATCGCGTTTTCCAACTACGAACGATATCTCCATCGTAACTGCCGCGTGCCTTTCAATCTTTCTCTAAACGTTTCTCGTTCTGTCTCGACGATTTGTTTCTTACTTAAAGTATTTTCCGTTGTTCCAACGCATTTGCGCGTTGTTCCGGACAAATCGGTGCGTTTTCTAAATCGCGTCGGCACCGTTCCTTGCTCCGCTTCAATTTGATCGCGTCGCATCGACTGGCCGTGCATCGAGAGAACCGCGGCGCTCGTAAAGCCACCGGCCGACGAGCGAGAATAATAGGGAAGGAACGCGATTTCCATCCGGGAGATATTTATTAGGCATGTGGTCGGATACGGATATGGGAAAGTCGATGGATTTCCTTGTCCGGCTCGACGAGGTCCGGTCAGATCCGGTCGGTCGTCTTCGTACGCGCACGAAACTCGTCCGGCTGCGCAAACTTAGGGCCGAGACACCTCTCTCGTGGGATCCAGTCGACGACCCCTCGTTTCTCGGACACGGATCATAAACGTTTTAAACGAAATTCGGGAAAATTTGAATTCGCAGGAAGGGGGACGTCGAGAAGCGACTACTACGGACCACCGACACCGACCGAAAAGCCCGGCAGAAGAGTAAGCGGACGGGGGGTCGTGGTTACCGAAGAATAGAGAAACAACCTGCGGTCTAGTCTCGCGTACGAGGGTAGTCGTCGATTTTAATTCCAGTCTCGGTGACCGCGCGCGGTTCCCGACCCTATTCTTTCGGCCGCGCTTTATACTTTATAGGTATACGGACGATCATCGATGCGAGACCGAACGAACCAGAACTCGCATAAAATTTCAAACGGCGCGTTCATCGATCGTCGCTCCCTCTTTCCAACCGTTCTTTTCGGATCGTTCTTCTTTGCGGCCTTTCGCGAAGCGAAACGCGTTTCGGACGAGATGAATCGCGTCGATTATATCCGAGCGAAATTTCGCGCGACGGAAACAGCCGTGTTCGAGCCGCGACGCCGGATAGTTTAAGGCGACTGTTCTCCGGATAAAATTAATAAAACAATACGCCATTATCGAGCAGCGTCGCCGGAACGAGCGGCAGGAATATCAATCCGACGAATCGCTCGAAATCTTACGAGTCTCGCCTCTCCGGTAAATCCTATTTCGCGCTCGATGGCAATCACCGCGGCATTCACTCCGATCGAAAAATCGAATTATTCCCTCCCTTCCGCTGTTCCTCCGCGATCGCTTTCCGTTCGTTAATATTCTTATCGCAACGTTTTCTCGTTCGAGCGCGACGCGACGGTTTACGAACGCGTCGAGGAAATCTACCCCATTTTTTGTTCTCGTAACTCGCACCGATCCGTAACCCTCTCGATCGTTATCCAAATCCTCGCGTAGACGAACAAATTCGAAACGAACAACGCTCGGAGAGATTACGTCGTTCGATTAGATCGAACGCACCGGGATTAATCGCGTTCGGCAACGGGTAAAGGGAAATTTTGTAAGCAACGAGGAACGGATCGAGCGGGCTGACGCGGCGGGAGAAAGCGCGTTGGTGCGAAGCATTCGGAGCTTCCGCGTCGCGATTCGGCGGAATCGCGTTCGTCGAAGCGCGACGGGAAGCCGATTCGTGGTTAGAGGCAGGGGGATGCTGGGGGGTAACTCGTTACAAAGTACTCGTTCGGCTTTTAATAATGCATCTTCGCGCACGCCGGGAGATCTCGAACGAGAGCCGATCGCTGGGGAATGGATTCGAATGGCGTTTCTCGTCGCGTCGGTCCTCTCATCGCCGTAGCAACCATCGCGTCCTACTCACCGCGAACAGACTTTCCGGGGAGGGTTGAGGTTGAGCGCGGAGAGGCCGGGGGAGACGGGCATTATGTCAGATCCCGCGGCATTCCGCGCAGAATACGCTACGTTTTCGAGTGGCTCGCATCCTTGTCGAGAGGCGACCGACCGAGCTCCGGCAAACTCGCTTCGAACTTGACGCCCCACTGTAAACGAGCCGAGTCGTCGATGCTTCGACGGAGCAACCGAGACAGAGATCGGCGCGCGTAACAGGGCCAGACGAGTCGGACAAAGACGGACGAATATAAAAGAGAGGCTGCGGGAGAGAGAAAGAGAGGGGAAGAGAGAGAGAGAGAGAGAGAGAGACGAGACAAGAACGAAACAGGATCGGGGAAGAGAGAAGGGAGGCTGGAGGGGTTGGTCGAGAGAATCAGGGGCCGCGGAGAATCAAGGGCCGAAGCTGGCCGTGTCCCACCGCTCTCCCGGCGCTTCGCGAACGACGACACATTGATGAAAAGCAACCGACCGAGGCGGATTAATTCTGCCGGATTAGCGGCTTTGCAGCGAATTAGGCACCGTTACCGGCTAATACGATCGTCGAGCCGTGCAACCGTCGCTTCGCGGTGCGACGCGCCTCGGTTCGACGCCCAAGCCTTCAAGAAGTTTCCGCTCGCGCGACGCTATAATCGCTACCGATCGAATGTCCGAAAAGTCGTCGAACCTTCTGGACCGAGTCGAGACGTGACGACATCGAGTACAAGAAGCTCGCTGGAAACCGACCTCTTTTTCGGACGAGCTTCGTCGCGTGACGTTGCGGAATCTAAACGAGATCCACGAGCAGAGTTTTTGTCGGCGTCGAGTCGAGTCCCGTTCAATTTTCCACTCGACAACTTGATCGTCCGTAACGACGCGTTTTCCTCGAATTTTTACGATCCGCTTTTGGACGCGGCCGGAGCTACGATCAAAGAGCGCGTGGAAACTAAAGGTTAGATTCGAAGAGAGAAACACGAGATGCGAGAGGCGACCGGACGAACGGAGAAAGATGGAGGAAGGACGGGGGGCAAAAGAGCGGGCAGAGGGTTAGAGGAGAGCCTCGTTTTTCATTTCTTTCCGCGAGCACGGCGGACAAAGGCCATTGTAGAGGATCCCATTGTGGAGGATTAACGTACATACACGCGTGTACACGCGCGCGCCGCGTCGAACCGGCAATGTTTGTCCCGTGCGCGAGGCGACGTTCGCGAGCGCGTTCGTCGCGTCGCGTACGAGTCGGAGCTGACCCACGGGTGACGCGTTGCATATTTATACGAGGAAGCGATCGCGATCGCCGGCGAGACTCGTCGAACGGACGCGTACGCCTTTCGACGCGGCGGATTCGTTCGTTTCGTTTCCAGGGATCTTCGGCCGCGATCGGTTCGCGAGACGAAGACGAGCCAGGATTCATCGCGATAGCTATTACGCCGACGGAGAGAAAGAGTTTATCCGCGAGTCGAGTGTAATTCCGTGGTTAGCGAGGTTCGATAGGCTGGCAATGAACGGACAGAGGCGTTCGCTCGCGAGAGAGGGCAAGTCGCGATGCAACGTGGCACGGCGCGGTGCGACGCGGCGTATGCCATATGGCTAATGGCTTCCGCGTTGCTAAGCATCATCGATAGCACCGACGGTGCGCGGTGTCAAGGATCGCGTTCGTGGCTCTTGTTACGGCAACGGTGTTGTAGCCTTCGATAGCGAAAGAAGGCTCTCTTCTCGACGAATCGAAATCGGCGCGTCGCGTCGGTAATTCGGTAAATCGGATAAAAATGTTGTCCCGCTTCGAAACGATGGATTTATCGCGAGCGGTAACGGGCTCGTTGGACCGGGAGCGTGGCAAGTAAAATCCGGTTGCTCGATCCGGGGGAGAGGAAGAGATTAATCCTCCGACATTAATCCACGGTTCAATTAATTATCTTGCTATGACGCGAGGGCTTGGCTTCCCCTAATTAGCCGTGTCCGCCAGTCTCGCGCGGCAGTTACGGCGTCGAAACCTTGCACCGTTTTCGTTGCTTCTTGTCCGCTCTCGTCCCAGCACGGTGTCTCGCTGCTCGCCAATTTGCTAACTCGAAACCGCCACTGTCGCGCCGCCACCGGGAGAGAACAGGACGGAGAATCGAAACAGGGAGCAACAGAGACCGACTCGCATTTATAACGGTACTGTTTCGAGGTAGTCGCTTCTCTAGGATCGCGGCGCGGATTCCGTTCGGTTCGGAATCTCTCGAAATTTCGCGCGGCGAGCAAACGCGACGTAACTCGTGGTAATTTCGCGGACGCGTTTTATCGACGATGCAAGGACGATACCGCGAGTATTAAAAGCCTCCTCTGTCAACCCTTTCTTGGAGCCCTCGGTCTCGAGGGATGCACCCTATCATCGGCACGCTCTCTGTCCTTCCCGGGGGAGACAACGATGCTCCCTCGGCGCTCCCAACCTCGCGTCTTCATTCGGCTCTACCCGCTCTTGGATCTCAATCGCTCGCAAAAAATCTCATTTATCCATTGTGCGTCGCGTTACCCGTCGCGCCAGGACCCGAAGCACCCGAAGCGGGAGCAAACGATCCGGGCTACCTAGGCTAGACCGAAACGGAACGCTCGAGCCAGAAAAGGAGGAACAAGGTAGCCTACCTGCGTCGTCGGCCATATCCGCGTTCGCGACTATTCTCCGCCGGCTGGCTCGTGCGGCTTTGGGAATCGGTCGACGCCGTAAAACGTGTTTATTATGGTATCGCTTTTCGTCTATTCTTTCGGACGGATCGGTACCGGCGGGTCGGGTCGCAGGTCGAGGGATCCCGCAGGACCGGGTCGCTCGCGTGTGCGCAACTTTCCCGGAAGGGGAGCAGCGAGTCTTCTCTCCAGGATCGCGAGCAACTCGGCCGAGCGGAGAGGAGTTCGGAGCGCGCGCAGCAGAAATTCGTGGGTGGCCGAGGATAGTCGGCTCGGTCGGAGGATGGGCGCGCGACATCGCGTAAATAACGCGTATCGTCGATGTCAGGATGCGCGAGCGTACGGCCGTGCGCTTCCGCGTATCGAGCGCGGATAAAAAGAGGACCGAACGAAAATGCGGAGACAACGAGCGCGGGCGCGGCCGTCGAGAAAGAAGGAAAGCGAGGAGGAGGAGGAGGGTAGTGTCACGGTAAGGGCTCGGAACGGAACGAAACGAGAGAGACGGAAAGGGAACCGTCGCGATGGATGCGGTTGTCGCGGCGGCGGAGGGTGAGTTTTGGCACGGGGTGCGAGTCGCGAAATCGCTCGTTCGTAGCGCGCCGTCTCTCCCCGTTCGCGCGGTTGCACCGCGAGAGAGCCGCAGGGATGCGAATGAACGGATTAAGGGATGATCCTTTGCCGCGGGAGGGTGCCCTGTCGGCGCCGCTAACGGGATTGACGATTAACGCGTGGGTGGTTAGCGTGCAACCGTTTTCACCGTTCTCGTTCGCCGGGGAGAAAACGTTGACGCGAACGTTTAACCGCTCAATCGTCTCGCGTTTTCTCGTCTTCCGCTCGATTCGCTCACGATTCGATCGCTCTTCTCGCTTCTGGACAACGTCGCGGGGTACGCGGTTGATTAACGTTCGCGTAATTCGTTGGGTAAGACGTTAAAGGTAGAGGAGCGACTGGCCCCCGGTGGATCCGTTAGCGCGCGAACAGGTATACGAAACGGGCCTTCGTTCGGCTTAACGGGCGGTTTTTGTTTCTCACGAGGAGCAAAGGGTAGAACGTCTATTGTTTGCACCTAGCACGGAGTAATTACCTTTCAGGATCTTTTCTCGGTCGTTCGGAAGGCCGCCATCGTCATCGTGCCGGTATATATCCTCGGTCGTACGAAAAACTAAAAGGGACCCTTTATTCTTCTCTCCTTTTTCCTCTTTGTCCTCCTTCTTCTTCTTCTACTCGCTCGTTCGATCCGAGTCTCTTACCGGTTTTTTTCTCCTCGACGTACGCGAACGTTCGGTGTCGAACTCGTATCGGACGAGAGAAAGCAAAATCGAGGACGAAAACGCGGCGATCGGATCGTCGGTGTCGTGCACGGAGCAAATCCGTAAAAGACGCGGAGGAGTCGAGGATGGGAGAGGGCAAAGAGGAGAAGCGAGGCCGGGTCGCGGTAGCGGATTTTCGGCGCGGAAGGTCATCGTATTGCTGGCTCTTCCTTTGAGAGCGGCACGCGTTAATCAGTCGAGTCGGAGACGAGCCTCGGAGGATTAATTAAGCCGTAATTACTGGACAGCCTCTCTAGTTGCTAATGGGCAACCTGATATCCGTGAAAGGCCTCGCAACGCCGCGTGAATAGGCCCCCGAACCGCTGACCGTCAGCCTCTCCGATGATTATCGAACCCCGCTGAACTCGATGTACCGATGCGCGTACGGTATCCGCTCTCGGTCTCGTTTCGACGCGTCCTCCGCTCGTTCGTCGCGACCGATCTTCTTCGACGCGACGACCGGTTCGATTCGCTACGCACTGTCACGCTCGAATCCTTCCTGGTGTCGTTCGATTTATCGGCATGCGTGGTGGGGCGCCGATCCGAGCGGTTACTCTCGACGGCGTCCCCTTCGTCGACGAACGACTCGCGTGCTCGAGAAAACGTACAGGTGAACAGGTAGATGGCAAACGACTGTATCCGCTTACCGTTTTCCACGCGAGGGGCTTCCCTCGCCACTCGGCGTACGCGGCGTAACCGGTTAAAAGATTCATGGACCAGAAAAACAGTCGTGTTCGGCCTCTCTGGCGAACGAGGGGTGTCTCGTCTCTGCTCGTTTCTCCCCGCCTCTCCTCGTCACGACCCCGTTATCGTCGTCGCTTCGCTAATTACGTCGCCGAGTGGCTTTTAACGCCGGCAACTATCCACCGAACTCTGTCCCTTTGCCGGAGCGGACTCTCGCTCGAAGCGACGCGACTATTCCTCTCGATCGGACCTACTCCTCTTTAGTCTGAAAGTTTCACGACGGCCGTCGCACCGGGTTTTTAAAGTTTCGCCGAAAGAGAGAGGAGAAGAAAGCGAGCGGGACGGAACGACGAAGCCGACGCGTTTCTTCGGTTCCCTCGCGACCGCTACTAAACGAATCGGTGTACGCGCGATATCGCGCGGTGCTCTCAAATTTTCGATTCGAGCGGGTTTCTAAAGCGCGTAACCGGGGAATGGGTTTTTAATCAGGGTATTCGGACAATAGGTCCCCCAGGGGACTCTCGCCACCCTCGTAGTACCTTTCTTTGCGGTCCCTGCGCGTAGTAGATGCCTTTCGATCACCCTTCCTACGCGCTCGCGCGTTTTCATCCTCGAGCGCATCGCGCGTCATCGAAAGTCGGGTAGTTCGTTTCCGCGCAATTAATTCGTTGTTTCACGGTTGCGCGCGAGCGTGTTCTCGAGCGGTGAATAGCGGAGAACCGTTAGAACGCGCGCGCAAAAAGGAATCGACATCTGCGACTGACAAGCTCGTCGATCGTCGTAAACGCGAAAGCAGGCCCTTTCGTCAAATTTTGCGATTCGCTGAACTCTCGGCCGAAAAATCGGTCGAGCCGTCAATAAAGCTGTTTACACACGGGAAAATTTCACGGGAGATTAATGAAACGACGGAACAGTTTGGCGAGCCTTTAAGCGTTTAAACGGTCAGCCGACGTTCGACGCGAAACCATTAGCGTCCCACCTGCGTCCCGTAAGCTTTCTCCCTTTTCTTCTTTCGATTTGTAGAATCACGATGCCGAGCTGACACGGTGTCGTTAACGATCCCACGGCCATTGTTCGACCCGGGTCCGGTTCGACGGTTACGAATCGAACAGCAGTGTAAACTGTACGAAGCTTTTCGAACGCGGATTTTTGCGAATTCCTCATGGAAAATGTCTAATACTCGCGACAAATCGATAAATGATCGTTCGCTAGTTGTACGACGCGACTGAGCAAATCGTGACAAGTATCGTACGCGGAGGTCCGTGACAGAGGTTGTCCAACGAGCGGTCGAGGCGAGGCGAAGCGAACGACCATAAATAATTAGAGGACAGTTGGCGATTTGAATTCTCGCGTGAGACCGGCCGGTAAGACCGTCGAGAAGGTTGACCCCCCGAAAAACCATTAATTTATCGTAAACTCGAACGTCCGGAAGACGATCGGGCCAGGGGCCCGTTCCGGGGGAAGTGGTCCCACTGGTAATCTTGACCCCGGATAATCGTGGGACAGGTGATCTCGAATCGGCCGACTGACCAGCCTGTCCGATCTTTTCCCCTATGCAAATGCTCCACTCCCTTTCCGTAGGGGTTTCTCCCTTCGGGGGAATCGTTTGATATATTGCTCGATCTCGGAAAGAACGACTCGGCCGATTTCGCGCATTAATTTCCAAGCGTTTCGAAAAACTTCCCCTACTGGCCTCCTTTAAGCGAACGAACACGAAAGAACTTTTCTTCTCTCGCTCCGCGCTAGGCGTACGCGCGACAAAGTTGCTTCTCGTTGATCGTTCCCTGACTCGAGACCACCCTTTGACGAGTAATTTCCTTGGTTGGCGATAAAGCGGTGAGGCAATAAAGGAGAAAGCGTTATTAGGGCTACCTTGTTCGGTCGAAGAAGCGTCGAGTCGACGCGACTCGACCAACGTCGTCGTGACAAGGGGTTGAACCGTTGAACCTCTGGAGACAAATCTCCTACCGGGACCATTCCATTCTTTCTCCCGTTTCCTCTCCTTTCCATTTCCCTTTCCCTTTCCCTTTCCCTTTCCCTTTCCTTTTCCCTTTCTCTTTCGCTTCCTACGTCTCTTTCACCCTCGCTCACCCTCGTCTTTGTCTGGCCGATCCTCCGCCTCGCGCGTCTCCGACTCTTTTCCTTTAGGCCTTCGATCGTTGGCCATCGTCGTCCGCCTCGGCTCATAAATAAATTAATTAAGCGGCAGTCGAGTAGCAGATAATGTTAAAATAATACGCCGGCGGGACAATGAAGACGGCCTTCGGGCGCTCTTTGGACGTGGAACGGGAGCGGGAGCGAGAGCAGGGGCGGCGGCGGGGGCGGGAACGGGAAAGAGAACGGGAACGGGAATGGGAACGGGAGTACGTATATATACCACCTTGTAGCGGTTCTTAAACTCGCTCCTGCCGGAGTTAATTTCGCGGCATTAACAGTCGAAAGAGTGCGAACAAAAGGGCTCGGAGGGTAGGGAAGACAGATAAGGGAAGGAAGGAGGCAACGCAGGAAATATGAACACACTCATAATGTAGCCGCCTCCACCACCGGCAGCGTCACCGCGACCGTAACCACCGCTCCGAGCGAACAGTGATTCTCCCCTTTGCCATGTTCTCGCCTCGCCATCCCCCTAACCCCGTGCACCTTACTCCTATCTGCTCTTTCCTGATCCGATTCGCTCGCTGAACCTCTTCGACGTCGATTCTCCTAACGGTACGGTTTCGATTGCGAAACTTTTTATTAATTCCATGCTCACGAATCTGGTAAAAAAACTCGCTAGAGAGGCACGCTCGTTCGCACCGTGTCGCACCGTCCCGAACAAGTCGAAATCGGTCAAAATATCCTGCGATCGTTCGTCGGCACGGCGCGCGATATCCCGCGAGATACGANGCCTCTCGGTGAAACGGGGAGGAGAAGGGGGAAGAGATTAACGGAGATCGTGGAGAGGCGGCGTAGCTTTTTCGAAGAGAGATTCGGGCGCGGGAGTGGCGGTGGTCGAAACACGGTTGCGGCGAACGCAGCGATTTCGATAAATCATCTCGAGAGTGGCGTTAACGTTGGCTGGCACTTTAAAAGCATCGCGCGTGTCAGGTTGAAACGCGAAGAAGGCCGCGCGTTGCGAACGTTTTAAGAGGGCAGCGGTGCTAAGAGGGGAAAAGAACCGACGGGGGGCAACAGAAGGAACGACGCGGAGAGGGAGGGGGAGAGAGACAGATAGAAGGCCGCCGGTGGTTTTAGCGGTGAAGAGAAGCAGGGCCGAAGGGAGGGAAACGAAACGAGGGGGCTCGCTGCGTTTTCGACGTACAAAAAGTAATTATGGGATGGTTTCCGGTAATCATATCTAGAGCGCATTGAACGAGCGCATTGTTCGACCACCCCTTCACCGATATGCACTTGTACACGGCGCCAGCCACCCCGCTTCTCTTCTGCCCCCTTCTCGTTCCCCCTGTTCCCTATTCCCTGTTCCCCGTTCGGCTTCTACGCCCGTCAACGTTGCTAGATTCAACGATTTCAGAATCCCTTTCGCGTTCTACGAGCCACGGATTCGCTGACCATTCCGGACATTCGACGAGGTCGTTGGACAAGATCTTTCGCGCGCGACTAACATCCCTGAACGTTACTTTTCGCGCTCGAGCTTACCGCTCGTCGTTCGATTTTTCGCTCGATTTATCGTTTCGTCGCGTCGATGCCTAATTTCGCATAGACGGAGAGGAGGCGAACGAAAGAAACAGTGACATAATCGTTCTCGGGAAGGAAAGGAGCAGAGGGCAAAGGCGGAAGAAGCGACGACGAAGCTCGAAAGCGTAACGGGGTGGAGTAAAATGGCAAAAGACACGGAAACGCAGAGGTGCAGGTCCGCGACCCGACTGACCCTGCGTCGACGGCCCGGTCGTCTTCGAGCCGAGCCCCGTCGCTCTACCCTACTCCGTCGGCGTTCTTACCCTCACCCTTAGCCTCGGGGGTGGATTGAAACGGTCCGGCCCATTTTTCGCGCCCCGCTTGACTCCTCGTCCCCATTGGTCGCCGCCCTCTAGTGACCTCGCTTCCCTCGTCGTATCTCGTTCGCGAAAGAAGTATCCAAGGAAACGGAAGAAAATCCGTGAAAGACGACTAACGGTTCCGCTTATCGTCTTAACGTTGTATCCTGCCGAGACGCCCGACCGAGTCGTTTGTTCTTCGATTTTGACGAGTTTCGAAACTCGCGACTCGGAAGTTCGCGTGGACGGTTACGCGGAATAGTTCGCGACGCGGGACGTCTTCGTCGACGGCGATACGCGATCGAGGACACGTAGGAAACGACGGTTCTCCGAAGTGGTCGAAGCGGGGGGTACAGGTTTCGCGGAGGTACAGGATCGGTGTAACTGAGAGAGAAGCGTCGAGTAATTTGTCGCGTTTAGGAAACTGGTTCGATTTCGAGGAGCGTATTAAAAAATCGGGAGGTCCGTGCGGTAACCCTGGACGAGGAAAAGGTTCGAAGCGAGCGCGGATCCGCGC